AAGGAAGTTGAAGGAAGTTGAAGGAAGTTGAAAGAAGTTGAAGGAAGTTGAAGGAAATTGAAGGAAGTTGAAAGAAGTTGAAGGAAGTTGAAAGAAGTTGAAGGAAGTTGAAGGAAGTTGAAAGAAGTTGAAGGAAGTTGAAAGAAGTTGAAGGAAGTTGAAGGAAGTTGAAGGAAATTGAAGGAAATTGAAGGAAGTTGAAGGAAGTTGAAAGAAGTTGAAGGAAATTGAAGGAAGTTGAAGGAAGTTGAAGGAAGTTGAAGGAAGCTGGGTGGTGACAGAGACACAGCGAGAGCAGGAGTGAGTGATGAGATGTGAGAGATTTGTGATATTTAACATGTTTTTTGTTTCATTCGACCTTTATTTCTTCAGGTTAGTCTCATTGAGCCTCGGTGACTCATTTACAAGAGACACCTGATTTAAACAAAGAGTGATGACGACAGTGGATTAAAACGTCTATGAAATGAAAAGTAAACGGAAGAAAAAGGTAATAAAAGAAGAAACAAAAACATCTACATTATAAGGCGATGTGGAAAACTACAAACAGGAACATGTGCGCGTTGGTTTTTCACATGAACTTAGCAGATGTTTGAAGGTCGAGAGCTTCAGATGTTTTTGAAAGGTGTTCCAGGAAACGGGATCAGAGTAGGAGAAGGTCCTGTTGTCCAGCTCGGTCCACATGGAGTTAGTGTGAATTTGGAAATATGGTGTGATACAAAGGACAGGATTTTAGTTCACCTGTTAAAAAACATTTGAGTCCATGCAGCTGAAGAACTGACTCCAGAGGAAGTTTGATTTCAACAACAAAACTGAAGAAACAACAGTTTGACAGCACAAACGCTGACTCAGCACTGATCTGATATTAATCAGTCAGAGGTTCTTTATTGTCATTCCACCTCATGTGGTACATGTGGTGGATCAAACTACGTAACTTACATCCAACAGTAAAAATGTCAAAGAAAAACAGTAATAAGATCAAAGACATGAACTAAGAACAACATCAACTAAAAATACACTAAGCGCTCCATCATCTTTACCCGTTTATTCCATTTTGGGTCACGGGGGTCGCTGGTGTCCATGTCCAGCAATCACTGTGCGAGGGGCGGGGGACACCCTGGACGGGTCTCCAGTCCATCACAGGGACACATAGAGACAAACGAGACAAACAACCATTCTCTCTCTCACTCACACCTAGGGACAATTTAGAGTTACCAATCAGTCCAACATGCATGTTTTTGGTCTGTGGGAGGAAACCGGAGCACCCGGAGAAAACCCACGCATGCACGGAGAGAACATGCAAACTCCACCCAGAAAGGCCCCTGGACCGGGGATTGAACCAGGGACCTGCTCGCTGAGAGACAGCAGCTCTACCAGTTGCACCACCGTGCTGCCCACACTAAGCACTCATAACATAAAAACATAACGTTGAACAGCGACATGAAACTGATCAGCAGCAACATGAAACTGATCAGCAGCAACATGAAACTGATCAGCAGCGACATGAAATGAATCAGCAGCGACATGAAACTGATCAGCAGCAACATATAGCAGATCAGCAGCAACATGAAACTGATCAGCAGCAACATGAAACTGATCAGCAGCAACATGATGTGATTTTTCACAGTGATTATTCTGGTTAGAGATTCATGAGTCTAACAGCCTCAGGGTAGAAGCTGTTCCTCAGTCTAGTGGTTCTACACTTAATGCTCCTCAACCTCCTTCCTGAGGGGAGCGGGGCAAAAAGTGTGTGTGCTGGGTGAGTGTGGTCCTTCATGATGTGGGTTAATCACTGTAATGACACTTTAATTGGACATTTCACACTTTAGCCATGCATCTGATGTTTTAAATTTATTTATTTAACTTTATTTAACCAGGCAAACCCCACTGAGATCACAGATCTTTTTTCCAAGGGAGGCCTGAAGCAGCCTGACATGCATGTTTTTGGTCTGTAGGAGGAAACCGGAGTACCTGGAAAAAACCCACGCAAGCATAAGAAGAACATGCAAACTCCACACAGAAAGACCCCAGGTCCAACCGGAGTTTAAACCAGGACCTTCTTGCTGTGAGGCAACAGTGCTAACCACTGAACAATTGTGCTGCCAAAAATTTTCTTACCCATAAGCTGCTATAGTCATACCCACCTGCTCACATCAAACTCATGTTCAGACTGATGTTTAATAGACCTAATTTATATTATTGTTAGCCTATATTTTAGATACTTGTATACTGTTTACTTGGTATTTATACTTATATATATATATATATATATATATTTATATAGCTTTTTTAGGTGTAACTGGGACCTTGAGCACATAATTTTGTTCCACCTCATGTACCACATGTGATGCGAATGACAATAAAGGACCTTGACCCGTGACATGGCTGGTTCATGTTAATAAGTGTCTGATAGGTTCATGTGGGATAAAACATGTTTAGTATCCATATTAGTTTAATGTGTTTGTCTTTTTTTAATCAAATTCTAAACCTGTATTTGCCATCAGCTCCATTTTCTGTGTATTATGTCTGATCCAAATGAAGCTGAGCGAACACCAGGACTGTACCTGTCCCCACAGGAGACTGCCAAAGCCCAGGAAGACACACCACAACCACTGTTCAATGGTCAGGGGCGCACAGCTGAACGGCTTCCCACCAAGCTGCACTATTATTATCTGCAAGACAACACACAAACAGCTTTTAGTCACTTGACATTGCAAAGAAAAACTTTTTTCTCCGTTGAAGTGTTACCTGAACAACAAAGGTTCCCAGGAGGATGGAGCAGAAGATGGGATTCCTGAAAACCCCATCAAAGACGTTCCTCTCTCCGTGAATCTTGCGTGCATTGAACTCGTTGAAGATCTGCATGAGGACAAACGTGTTGAAGACGATGGTGTAATGCTCAGAGGGCGGGGCGTAGAGGGGGGCGTTTCTGCCGTTGTCGATGTCGAACATCTCCTCACCTGTGAGATGGAGACAAAATGTCTGCAGTCAGTTTTACACCATCCACCGCTGAAGACAAATGGGCAATCGTGTTTTCATCCATGTCTGAGTGTGTGTTCGCTTTTCTGTAGTGTTAGCTAAATATCTCATGAATACCTGGATGGATCTGAATAAATCTCCCAGGAAGTAATAATTCGATAAACATAAGGAACTAACTTTTAGAGTCAGCCCTTTCAAGATGGCCACCACAGCTAAGTAAACCTAGATAAACCTATCTGTGATTTTGACAAATATTGAGCTAAAATTTGTGAAAGCCTGATCTGGTAGTGGCTGTGAGTCGTTCCCAACACAAACTCAGAGCTAACAGATCGTGTTTAAAGTTTACAAGATGAGATCCAGACGGTCATTTCTCAGCATAAGATGGTCTTAGTTTAACGTCCAACACCTTTTTCCACATTACATATCCAGTGAAATGAGTTTGGTGGTGATAGAGACACAGTGAGAGCCGGCGTGAGTGACGAGACACAATCGTGATGTTTAGATTTTAAAGTCATGGTGCAGTGTGTTCACTTTACTTGTAGATGTTTTCTTGACTGGATGGTTTGTTCGTTTAAGATTTTTTTAACATCTGTGTGATCTCAATACATAGGTGTCACAACAATTATCAACAATTATATGTGAAGGGGACGTGTCCCCCCACATTAAAAAAAATGTTCATTCGGACCCCCCTACATTTACCATGAAATATTAGTTCACCCAGTGCTGTTTCTACTTCTTGAACAAATCCATTCCACTTGATTAACAGGAGAATACTCGAACCACTAAAAGTCCACTCCAGGTTTTCCTGGTTACCAACAACAACTCCACACTGCATGCAGTCACTTACCTTGTCAGGGTGCTCACGGGGGAGGAGGGGGAACACCTGTTTTGCACGCTAGCTTAGCGCTACGTTAGTACTGGCAGTTGTTAACGGGGTGGGGGTTAAGATATGTAAGAGAAGCGGAGCGCTACATCTGTAGCATCTTAGCTAACGTGTCTGTATTGCACGCCACTAGCTTAGAGCTACATTGGTACTGGCAGTTTTTGATGCAGAGGTGGAGTGGCTAGGATGAATGAGAGAAGCAGAGCGTGCTCTATTCACACAAGGAGAGCTGTTGGTCAGGATCCTTCTTGTAGCTCTCCAAGATAATTATTCAATCAAGTGTTACTTATGTAGGTAAACATAGATGTTTAACAACCCGTTAAAATACACCAGAATGCAGGAAATGGCATCTACTTTATTAAAAATTTTCTGGGGGAGGACCCCCAGACACCCCCCCCCCACACACACACACACCAATGAGTTCCCTCCACACACACACACACACACACACACACACACACACACACACACACAC